TCCCTTCCGTTCTGTAGATTTTAGGGGACAAAAATCCTGTTGTACATTTTATATAGTAGAAAATAACTCTTGCCTCTTCATCTTGGGCCCAGTTTGGGGCTGTGTGAAGAGGAGCCCTGTGAAGGGTGTGACAGAGTCACCTACTTTGCATCCTTGGGAGGTGACAGGGATGAGCTGGGTCAGCAGCTAATCCCCACCCCCTAATTACATGGGTTTTCACGACTGCTACCATTATAGGAGCGCTTAGAATGTGTGGAAGCAGTTATTGCCCTTATGCCACTCATGAGCTGTATGCTTTAAAGTAGAAAAAAAAAAAGAAAAAGTAGGGAAACTGGGGCTTTCTTCTTGGTTCCGTCTCTCCTGCAATAGGAGAAAACTCTTCCCCAATTTTTTTTCTCTTCAACTATGAAGAAACAGAGGCATAAGAGCAGTGCTTTCTCACACAGCAGTGAGAAATGTGTTCAGGGGACATTTGTGTATCCTCCCAGGGAGGATGGAAGATCTTATTTCCTCAGGGGGTGGAGGAGAAGGATGTCAGCTCCTTTGTGGGAAAAGGAGGCTGGGGAAGAAGAGAGGGATTCCTCTGCATAGACCCCTGCTTCCACACCCAGACTGGAACAGTACTGAACCCTCCTGCCTTTCTCCTAACAGTTCTTTCTTGGGAGTACCTGGATTTCCTTCCCAAGTGCCTTCCAAACTCTTAACTTGCTTTTCCTGTTGATCTGTGGCAGATCAGTGTCACCTCACTAATGGATTGCAGAGGCTGAGAATGAAGATAATACTCAGGGATACTTTGGTCAGAAACCAGGAGACAGAGCATCATCAGTCAAAGCAGAGATCTCAACTGTGAAAGGGAATCCTAACCAAGTCACAACATCATCTTATGTGTCAATATAACCACAGCAGCCAGTTCATAACACCTGAACTTGGATAGCTGCTGTATAAGAACCTTCTCATTAAACTCCAAGAGATGGCTAGTGTAGTAAACAATTTAATGAGTAGGTAACACTCTTTACTCTGAACCGCTTTTGAACCAGGACCCAGAAATTGCGGAAGTGTTACATAGTAAGTGGGACATGTTCATTAGCAGCGTGCTTTGCAGCATTGCATTTCTCTTGGGAAATACTTTCCACTTGGATGTAGGCATCTCCTTAAGCTCAGTAAAGCTGGCACCTGGGTAGGTGATGTCATCTCACACACTTGGAAGAAAACTGCCTGGACTGGGTCAAACTCTGCATACCTGCTTTGTTCACTGTAAGCAGAGGAACAGGAACAATTAATTCTTCTCTCTCCACAGATCAGATGAATAATTAAGATGATTTGTCTTAATGCACTGTTTTCTTATAAACCGTATCTTCCTCCCTTTTAATCTGGCCTTCCTAATTTTCCCCAACAAAGTATATGTATTTGAAATAAGTATGAAAAAAAGAATGTGTTCCTATTGCTTGGTCTTCTTTTGCAGTTACCTGCTTTCTCTTCCCCTCAGTTCATATTTTACTATAGCATTCATGAGGTCCTCCCCATGGAGACAGAGGGCTTGATTCTGGTAAAGACAAACCACCTGAGAAACCATCTTGGGTTTCCTCAACAGAGCAACAGTGTCAACATCTCTACCCCTGACTCTGCCGCCCTCTCACACCCAGTCAGCAGCACACAAATGTTACATAAAGCCGCTCCTCTGCATCTACTTATTCTTGTGCCAGCAAAGATGAAAGTAACTCAGGGACTGAGAGCTGAATATGTATTTATACAGAGACAAGCAATGTCTAGTGAATGCATGACTAGACCTCTACAGATGCAAGTGAGGAATGTTTTAGTAAATATCCCTTTATTGTCTTTAGTGAAAATAAGACATAAATCCCTGACTATATTACCTTGCTCCAGGGAGGCAAATCCTGCATTTGTATTAGTTGCACCGGCAACAACACTGAAAACACAAGACCCATTCATAACATTTATAAATGGAAGCTGTAAATTTAGTGGGTTTTGATGGTTTGAGAAATATAAAAGTAATCAAACATCATTAGGGAAATACAATGCTAAAAAAAAAAAAGAAATGCAGAAACAGATTCACTTCATAATATGAAGGGTTCCTTTGAAAAAGAATATACTAATGCTAATGTCAGATTAGAATACAAGGTTCCTAATCTGAAACAAAAAACCTATAATAAGAGGCAGACCTGAAAGCAAAACCAACAAGTAATAACAGTGTGCTGGACTCAAATGTATCATTGCTCTGTTCAGCTCTTCCAAAACTTCACCTCACACAATCTCAACAAATAATTTATTTGAGTAATTTTCCAGAAAAACAAATTGACCCTCCAGATTATTATTCCAATATGCAAAATTAAGTGTGAATAATTTTTACTGGGAAGATAGTATTGTGTGTGTCAACCAGTGTAGCACCATAGCTCATGAGAATGTACAGAAAACTGTAAACAGAAGAAGCCGGGGGAAAAAAAAACTTTTCAAGCTATGGATGCACAGTGTGTGTGGCCTTTGTTGTCAGCCAAATATGTGCAAAGCAGCTTTTCATGTCGATTGGGGAAGAGTCACATCAGACACCAGTCCTATTAGACAAAACTTTCTCAGCAAAGGCAGGCAGGGTTCACTGCTTAACCACAGCTACATCATCTCTATTGCCTACTGAAAATCACATACTATGCTTTCAGAATAAACAAAGACTTGCATAAAAACACCAAATAATTGTAATCTGAGAAGGTTAGACCAGAACTTCTCACTGACCCTGATCACATCCAGAATCCATGGCCTTCATCTGTTCTGTGAAACAGACATCTTTTAATAACAATCCCTTTAAAAATCCTCTCTTACAGTAATTAACCACATATTATGTAGGAACTGTGTGCAAGAAAAACACTTGCAAATATTCCTGCTTTTCCTAGCTCTTCAGTTGTTTTACGGTACTGTTTGTCTGTGGAGGAAATTGTATCATATATTCAGATGCACAGTTGTTTGAAAGCAATTTTCTGAACTGAATTTCTGCTCGCAAGAAGTCCCTTTCCTTTATCAATATAAATGTTAAATATATACTGAATATATAAACATATGCAGAGGGCTTTGGGTACATTATTAAGATTAGGCATAAAAGATAACAACAGATCAGGAGATTGCTTCAAATGGACTTTAATACTTCACCATCCAGGGCCAACAGTTGCAAGAGTGTGAATGTGCATTGCCCTGGCTGCTGGACATGCATACCCTCAGCTGATACCCTCTGCATGTGGGACTGGCTCCTTTCTTTTTAGCTGTATTCACTGTATTTGCCTTTATTTGTGTTTTGGTGGGTGAGCATCACACTGGGCCATTGATACTGGGCAGACACACAACACCCAAAACCTATGCAAAAGAAATGCCAGGAGCTACAGGTATGGAGCTGTGTTCCTTAGGGACAGAGTGATTTCAGGCCACTGGAACCCAGACATGAAGGGACACCTTCAGCAGGCAGGAGGAGTCAGTGCTGAGGATCTACGGTGTACCAAGGTGATCATCTAGACAAGTTTGTACTCTGCATACACATTGATAGAAATAAACCCAGTGCCTGAGCAGGGAATGTGGATTTTTGGGTACTCAGAATACCTCTTTTATAATTTAAAAAACTGTACTAGAGAAAATTAGAACACTATAAGTTGATGTGGACAGAAAGTTTGAGCCTGATCTTTGGCCTCAACCATTCCTCCCATCAGTATGCATGGGAGAGGAAAATGAATACATGTGGAATTTGTCCAAATGTTGTTAAACAGTCAACTGCTGCTCCAAACTGAACAGAACACTGAAGAAATGTCCCTGAGCTGATGTGACTGCAAATGGTACTTTGGAGGTCAGGCAGCAGACAGTGGCAGGTGCTTACTGGACATAGTCAAGTATCAGTCAGCCTACTGTACTTATGTATCTCTCTTTCTGGCCCTCTTTAGAAAAGCAGATCTTTTATCTAGTGAGCTACACAGTCTCTCATAACCATCTGTGGAGAATCTGCAGGTGTTAAATTAGCTGCAGGAGGATGCCCATATGTTTCCTGCATATACTAGACACACATTGAGAAATATAACCAAAAATGAAGCCATTGCAGATTGCACACAGTTAAGGCTAAAGGGCTCAAGCCAAGATCTTTAAGTAAAATTGTGCACAGATGAGATGTAATTTCCTGTGATTAAAACACAGTGAAAAAGAAATGCAACTTTCATTTCCTAATGTAGTTTCTTGGGCTGACACGGGAATGTGGTTCCCTGAGACACTAAGCAGTCTCAAACTGCTGGCAGCAGGACTTTGGGCTGCTCAGTGTTTGTCAGGATCAAGCCTCTGCAGTCATTTCATACACTATTTTTTTTTTTTTTTGCAATTAGTAGATTTACTTATGATTTATATCCTTGTATTGTATATGTCAGAGTCAGTAATTGCCTTGCAGTTACTAATGGGAGTTATTTATTATTGCTATATACAAAGAGCCAAAAAGTAACAAGTACCTTCCCTGTCTTGGTCTGAAAGCAATTGGAGAACTTTTCTATTTGGTGTAAAGCAGTTGAAAAATGGGTAAAAAACGAACAAGGATTTATTTTCTAGGATAAGCACAATGAAAAGACCTTATGTTTTACATACAGATACACGTATTCATACTCTTTTCTGTAGGCACAGGTACAGACTAACCATCTCACTACTTCTCAGAATCAGCTGTATTCTGTGAATACAGCTCTGTACATCTGTCTGGGAATACTGCCATTTTCACAGTTTTTTACAATCCAATAGATAATTGTCCAACTTTCATGAACATAAATTAAAATTAAGCAACTATCTACAGCAGAGCTATGTGTCAGTCAAGTGTTCCTTCCAGACAACCCCTCTCCACCAAACAGTATAGCTGGGAGTAGAGACGACCCACAAGGCTTGACTAAGTTTTTTATATGTGAGCAGGAGTCCACACTTCTCCAAAAACCCTTAAGAAAGCAAGTAAGCTATTACTCATGAGCATTTTTCTCTGTGCACAGAAAAAACGTGATTGATCCAGAGGATCCAAGGTGCGCCAGGCTGACTCTCATGGGACAGATGGTCACGGTACCTCCAGAGGAAGTAGAATTTGCCAAGCAAGCAATGTTTTCCAGGTCTGTATCTAAAAGGCACATAGTAGAGTGCAATCCATGGGTTAGAGACAAATATACAAATGTGGCCGTTTGGTACAGAAAATCTGAGAAATCACAAGCCTGACCTTTACTTTGGGGCCATGAAGCATGCTGGCTTCTGTGTGGCTTGGAATGACAGACCTTTTAACTCTTGAGGAAATGAAATATGGAAATACAGTTAGTGTTGGACTCTGGTAAGGCACACGGTTTATAATCTGGGGATTATGAAGAATGTCATCTGGTTCCAAGGAGATATTCCATAATTCCATGGTGTATTTGTTATCTTTAATGATTCTACCCCACCTTATGACAGGTAGGGGACTCAGACAAAGAGCAGAGGTCTGCTGTCTTTGGGCTTACAAACATTTTCAGGGTGGAGCTTATAAATTTAATTACATCTCCAAAAGTCCCAGCTGCTTCAAAGCCGTAGTACTTACTGAACAGTCTCCTTTGAACAGATGCAAGGACAACCCAGATGTGGAGCACACACACACACAGGGTGTGCCCCCATGCCCTTCATTGGGTGTCCAGAATTACAGGCTTGGAAAGCCTGAACCTTAGCTGGGGCACACATGTCCCACACAGGCTGCCAGGGATTGTCCTCCAGATGCACTTTTCCTGGTCAGTCAAATACTACTGGGAAATTGGGATGAGCTTGGATCCAAAACAGTCCAGAGATTATATTCTTTCTGACCTACAGGATAGGGTCAGGGTGAGACTCTGTCAGTGTGTGTGCCATCAATAACAAAAATGGGACCATGAACAGATGGGGCCATATTGACACACTTCTTTACAAACTTCACGGGAATTAGATTCCCAAGTGATCCAGAATCCACCAGCACCTCAGCAGAGGATGCTCTGCTGTCAGGTGCAAGAGCCAGAATGATAAAGTGAGGGCTGCTGGGGAACATCCAATGCCAGCAGCATCTGACACCACTTACCAACCTCAGAGTCGTGGGTACTCAAAGGGACAACTCAGAAAATGGTAGGAAACACCATTTTCCCAATGAGAGGGAAACCAAGACGTTGCCAAACCAAGTACCTCTGCTGCAGGATCCTTTGCAGGAGCAGAGGGGCACTGAGCCAACTCTGCCCAGACTTGCACCACTCCCCGCCAATGTTCCTGTGAACACTGTGACTTGAACTGTGGTATCCACTCTGTGCATCACTGCTGAGCTTCCCACAGCTACACCTGCCAGGGATTGGGGACCGAAGATCTGCACCCAGTCAGGGAGAATCTGTCTAACCTAACTGTAAGGAAGACCAGAGAAATGAGACATAAGTACAGGATGAGAAGGCTCTTGGAGGTGACAGCTAGCAGAGGCTATGCTCTACCTGCTACCCAGTTTTATTAGCCCTCCCTCTCTACCACAATTGCTACCAAAGATGTGATATTTTCAGGACAGTGTTTCCTTTAAACAGATACAAGCACAACCCTGACATGCATTCAAAGAGTTTTCTCTAACTATTTTTCATTTATTCAGAGGCTGAACAACATCTACCTTTAGAGACAGGGTTCTGCAGTGGGGGAAGGTGGTGATTGCTGGCTGCCTGTGTTGCAGTTCGCCCCAGACTGGGATGTGGAAGATTGTAAACCTTACAGCAAGGAAGGGCCAAAAAGATGAATGGTGGTGTTCTCATATCTTAGGTTTCACTCTGGCTGAGCACACTAAGCTGAAGAAAAAAGCAGAGTATGCATATGCTTTGGCACATCTTCTAACATTTTTTTTGTTTGTTTTTCTTTGTCCTTCTAGGCACCCAGTGGTAAGAAAGTGGCCTCGTAGCTATGAGTGGTTCTTCATGAAAATGAACATTGAACACATCTGGCTTCAAAGCTGGTATGGAGAAGTTTCTCCCATTGCAGTAGAAGAGTATTTAAAAGCAGTTCCAAGTAAAGGATGATCGAATGGGATTTGAGATAGAAATCTCCCGAGTTTCCTTTCCAAACACTTTTAAAATTTCATGGTAGATGGTTTATTTACAGTGATATTTTTCCTCTTCTCCCAAAAGGCTTCAAAATAGCCCTGTCTCACATGGAGCGGAGTGAAAATAAATCAACACAGACTTTCAAATTATAAAGGAGAGGTGGATATTAGCCCTACCCTGCAATGTACAGACTTGTCATTTCAAGCAGGCAGTGCGTCATCTGAAATGCTGTTTTTAAAATGCTTTGTATCTGTTTGTTTTGACTTCTATTGCTGTGCACCCACAGGGAAACTACACTATGTGCTAAATATAATGTTCTGATTTGCAGAAAATGCAAATTGCCTACTCAGAACCCTCTATGCATTGTGGAGGTATTACTGCTGCTGGGTCTCCCTTGATTTGTAAGTATTTTAAGAGAAAGTTAATAGCTGAAAATTTAGGTATTTAAGTTTAAAAACAATTTATTTGCTAAAGCTGTTCTCATTTGCTAGTTTCTCTTTTCTATGTGTGCTTTTCCCTAATTAGATAGTTTGATATTTCACTTGGAAATTGAGTAAAACTTCTCTCTTTAGCAGAAAAAATGCAATCAGTTCAAACAACACAGCTCCACTATAACTTGCCTCTGACACAAAGCTGGTTAAACACATTAAAGGCCAAAATCAAATCAGCCCCACAAGGATTATCTCAATACAAGTAAAAACATTCTTATAAGAAGAATTTAAGTAAATGTTCTCAGCTAGCCTGTTCCTGTTGAGACAGGAAAAGTATTTTTAATAGCCTGTAGACCCAATTTTTTTTGCCTCCATGCTCCAACCGCTGCTTTATTTTTAACTGGCTTGTGCAACTGATTTTTTATAAGCCGTCACTAACTCACTAAGGGGTGGAGCCTGTCCCTTAACTCTGTTTCCTCGCCAAGATTTAAAGGGCTTGTTCATGCATTTATTTTCTAAAGAAGCCTAAAGATGGTAGGTATTTCAGGTCATGAATAACTGCTTTTCCCAGTGTGGAAAGTACAAACTTTGTTGCAAGCACATTATGTATAGGCTTTTCACGTGGTAATACCAAAAGAGTTCAAAGGTATTTTAATCATTGTCAGTTCTTTCTCTAGATGTCCTCCTGGTAAACTTATTCTGCAGTTCTTAGGGTATCACAGAAAGAAAATTCCCATGGCTAATCAAGTCACCACACAGTTTGAAAATTATATGGCTGCTCTCCCTGTTACATGAAGGAGACACATTGAGATGGAGTTTATGTGCCTGTGAGGAAGGTCTTCCAGCATCACTGGGAGTGCACTTGAGCTCTGGACATCAGCCTGCACCATGTCTGGGCTGGAGAGGAGCCTGGGTGAGTGCCCTGAGCTTATACAGGTTAATCCCTGGGCAGAGCTCAGAGGCAGCTGCATGATCTATGATCAGCTGGAAGCCAATTAAGTGTAGCTGAGCTTATTTTGGCTCAGGCATGGAAAGAGGGAGTCATTCCCAGAACAGCTGGGCACCATGCTGGTTGAACTACAAGGGGCCCCAGGACACCCAACTTAGCCCTAGGGTGAGTCCTGGGCCCCAGGCATCACTACTATTCCTGATATTCTGTAAGAAAACAAGGCAAATGAGGTGGGGGGGGGAAACTTTGTTTAGACATTCACTTAGCTTTTTTATTCTTGTCTCACTGCCAGAGACTTTGTTAGCTCTGCAGATCTTTTGTAGAGGTAATTACACAAAAGGAGGAAGTGTCCTGCCCGAATCTATTTCCTTCAGGTTTTTTCCTTGGCAGATGAGCTGCATTTTCACATTTGAGTTTGCCCCTGAATCTTGCATTGTGTAATACTGAAGCAAGATGGCCCGTCCTATACAGATTTACAGAATCTCATCAAGTGAATCCTCCTTGATTCCTATAATTTTGCCATGGGGGTCTTTATCCACTAAGGATTTGATTAATGGGACTTTCAAATCTGAGTTCAACAGGAAGAATGCTAGTCCTTGTAAGAGAATTTCACAGAAATTCCTGTGAAAGTATAATTTTGTATTTCCTTATACCTGTTTACTACTATTCCCAGAGAAACCTGAAACCCCCATTCCAACCCCCACTCCTAAATACACACAGATTAAGCAAATCCAGAGTACAGTCTTAATGTTTAAACAAGCTGAAAAAGGAAGGAAAAATTTTAGAAGTGCTACTGTTACTATACTCTCAATTTCATTCATTTCATTCACTGGCAACAGTGACATGGTCCTATGTCCTATCCATTACTTTATCAACAAGCCTTGAAGCAGTAAGGGATTGTGTCAAGAAGATTCAGAAGAGCTTTAATGGTTTAAGAAGTTTTGAATTTACAACACCCTGCTTGTTATAGACTGTCTCCTCGCACACACAGATTAATTGGAGTAGCTTCTGTATTGTAAAATGACATATTCATCAAGAAGCTTTTCTGTATGGATCTGCCACGAGGCTCTTGACAGAACCTCAAAACATGAAATGCTGGTGACATGTAAAGTGACAAAAGGGGCCTCATGAAGAAATGCTGTCTTATATAACCTGTTCTCATTTCATGCTTCCTTCACCCAATGAATAACTACCATGAGAGTCCTTGAAAGTCTAGAAATTCATCAAAAATACAAAAGCAGATTTTGAACAGAATTTGTCAGACCAAAAAAAAAAAAAAAAAAAAAAAAAGGAGGTGATAGTAGTTTATCTGGGCTTTATTTTATTATTTATAGGCTAGTTCTAATTTTTCTTTAAAAAGAAAAATGTCTAAAGTAATATTGGTCATCACATGGTGAGTGATGTTTACTTGTTTTTTACTTGTTTACTGAAGCTTTTAACCCAGAGTTTTATCTGAAATATCACAATAAAACCATAGTTCGTTAAGACTGTAGAGTCTGATCTTGCTTCAGTTCAAGTGAATAGCAAAAATCCCATTTGTTTGTTGAGCTCTAATTATTGTATCAAACAAATATTTTCATAAGTCTTGATAAGCTCTTATGTATTTATTAAGCATTTCAATTAGCTAATGTGTAATTTCCATGTGTTCTTTATTTTCGTTATTTCTGTAGCTTCCCAAAAAAGTTTGTTGTGCAACATGTTTAAAATTTTAACTGTAGTCTTGCAAAATTTAAAAGATGTATTTAGTAATTTCTGTGTACTTGCTGAAAAAAGAAAAATGAAGTTGAAAAGTTGGGTTCTCACTTCTTGCTAATTTGGGCAAAAGAAATGCATGTACAGGATTTAAGCACAGCTATTTTGACTGCTGTTCTTATTTAACCAAAGAATGCTCTGTTTCTGATGAAATTTTCATCACTTCAGTGGTTGAAATGCAACCTGTCTCATTTCTGGATGTGTATTGCAATTTGCAATGTATTTTGATTTCTAAAAACATTGAAAGTTGTTAACAAAATAACCGTGACTAAGAAAAGCAAATAAAGCAAATTTCAAAGCAGAAGCTGAATAAGGATATTCTTCAGTACAGCATTTCCTAGAGTAACTCACATTGTGCTAACAACCATTACAATTTCTGTCTGATCTGAACACTTGTTTAGTTTCTTTTTCCTCCCTGAGTTTTTCTGAACCAAGTTAATTTCTTTCAAAATATTTATGGGAATTGAGACTCGGATCTGCTTTTTTTCTGGGGAGAAAAGTCTAGTCAACCACCTTTTATTGTTCCTTCATCCTCTCATTACTGTGTTCTTTGCTTTCACTGTGGCAGTTAAATGTCACTCTTAAATTTGCTCTTCTTTTCTGTACATAGGAAATGAGCACTCACCTCTTGGGTATGCAATAATAATGTTTTGGAAGTTTCCTCGGTGCTATTTCTTCCTTTGCCAGCCTTGCTCTTACAAGTTCTTTTTACAGCTTGCTCTCTTCTGTCCACTTTCCTCTGATGTGTTTTCTTAAGCCAAGTCTGACAATTTACCTTTTTATCTTGCTTTCCCACACCATCTCCTTTCAACAAAATTCAAGCTCTCATACTAAAATTCCCACTTCATATAGAGGAGAGGAGAGGAGAGGAGAGGAGAGGAGAGAAGAGGAAGAGAAGAGAGGAGAAGAGGAAGAGAAGAGAGAAGAGGAAGAGAATAATAGCCTGTGTAAGGATCAAATAACAGCTTGTGTTTCCTATCTACACTTTAAATATTTCTCTTGCCACTGGTTGGACTGCATTTACTGGAAGAACTGTGACAACAGTTCCCTAACCACTACAAATCTCAGTCAACACCAGCTTCTTATTTCCAGTAACCTGTATTTTTAAAAGAACATTTCCTGCAGCTGGTTTCTTCCTTTTTACTTACTGTTTTTACTTTTATCCCATTCTAAAGTGATGTCTATTCTGATTACACCAATGGTCTTTCATTTATTTACAAAATAAATTTAAAACCAAAAAACTCTAATCTTAACATTTTTGGAATCAATTAAGTACTTTCATTTTTTAATCTTTTTGCTGAATACTGAATTTGTGCTTCTTCCAAATTGTGTTGCTTGTCATCCTCCAATAAAGCTCACCTTTTAACTGCATTTTCTCTGCCACCACCTCCACATGCCCTCTCCCATCTAACATTTTGCTAGATGCTCCTGTTCCCTTATCCTCTTTTCCCTATATTTTTTCATTAACTCTAGTTTTTCTCTGTTCTTCCCTCAGCTTCCAAGTTCTCCACAACCCCTTCCACATTACTTTGTCTGCTCAGTCTTGTCTGTCTTCTTGATTTTGCCACTTTAATCTCCTTGTCACTATGCTCAGTGCCTTTGGAGAGAGTCCCAACACTGCCAAGTCTTATTTTGGGAGAATGCTAGAGAGTTGCTTTAAGGAATGCTTTGGGTTCCAAGGTATTTGTTTGTTTGTTGAAACACTGTCTCTGGAACAGAAATGGGAACATATTGGCCTTGATGCTGACACAGAATAGGGCTGTTCATCAAGCTCACGGCTTTTTCCAATATCTTCTGCACAAACTATTCCAGGCTCTATTAGGCCCTGCCTGTGTTAGCACCCACAACATATAATCACAGTTAGGAAGGACATCAACAAAGTTTGACAATGTTGTTCGACAACATAGGTAACAGTGCAGGAACATGCAACTGTTGTCTTGTGAAGGAAAACAATCATTCAAAAAGGCTGGCAGCTGATGAAAACAAGTGATTCATTTTAAAAGCCGGGCAAAGGTACAGATGTGTTCCACCAAAAAAAATAGGGAAGACTCAGTGTTTATTCAAGAAGAGTTGTATGTCAAATACTTCTATATAATGGAAAACAAGTCCGTAGAATGATCATATTTACTCAGTACCTTAATCTTGTACTTATATACTTTTCCCTCCAGATACGGTACAGACCCTGTCACCATTTTTTATCCTTCAGGAAGGAGCTCCCCTCAGCACAACAGCACAGGCACCGCGTGTATCTGACCGCCTGTAGCTCCGTTCCCTTTCCCCTGCGTGTTCTGTTCTTTGCCTTGCTTCTGGTGGTGCTCCAGTCTCTCTCCACTCCTCCGGGAGCCATGCTGCACCCTCGAATGAAGGCGAGGTGTGCCCGGGAGGGTGCGGTGGTGACTCATTTAACTTGACGAGTGTGTCACTGCCGGGGCTGCGGTACAGGCTGGTGACCGCCCCCATGGCAGGGTCCAAGGCCGAGCAGCCCCCGAGGGCCCGCTGGGGGCTCGTTGGGGAAGGCGGGGGTCAGGCAGGGGCAGTGGCCGCTCCGTGCAGGAGGCGCTTCAGGCTGATCCCCATGGGCATCAGTTGCGTGCGGGGGGCCGGAGCTGAGCTGTGCTCCTTAAAGAGCCCCAGCACAGCGGGGACAATGGCATCCCGGCCTGTATTAGAAATAAGAGTGGCCGGCAGGGCTAGGGAAGTAATTCTCTTGTACTCGGCACTGGTGACCCCACACCTTGAGTGCTGTGTCCAGTTCTGGGCCCCTCGTTTCAAGGACATGCAGGTGCTGGAATCAGTCCAGAGAAGGGCAGTGGAGCTGGTGAAGGGGATGGAGCACAGGTCCTGTGAGAGGCAGCTGAGGGAACTGAGTTTGTTTAGCCTGGAGAAAAGGAGGCTCAGGGCAGACCTTTCCACTCTACAAGCACCTGAAGGGAGGTTGTAGCCAGGTGGGGGCCGGCCTCTTCTCCCAGGCAAACAGCGACAGGATGACACAGCCTCAAGCTGCGCCAGGGTGGGCTTAGGTTGGATACTAGGAGGAATTTCTTCACAAAAAGGGCCTAAGACGTTGAAGTGAGCTGCCCAGTAAGGCGGCAGTCACTGGATCTAGCAGTGTTTAAGACTAAACGTGGGACTGAGTGCCATGGTCTAGCTGACATGGCGGTGTTTGATCACACCTTGAATTCAATGATCTCGGAGATCTTTTCCAACTGAACTGATTTTGAGGCCCTGTAGCTGCCGCGCCCCGTTCCGCACAGACACCAGAAGATCCCGGCGCCGCCATTCGCCCCGGCCGCCTACCTAGTGCGCCGGCCCCCCTCCCCCGCTCTCC